GTATTCTGTTATGTTTTCTAGTCATGATCCTCCTATCACTCTTAAGGCTCGTGAGAAATGGTTGGAGGATTTGGAAAGGTCACTTGTGTCTTTAATTTATCAGTCCAGTTTGGCTGGTGGTCAATTGTTACAGCCCGCTGGTAGAATTCTTTCAATGGCTTGTCACATTCACACAGAACAGTATACGCTAGGATATTAAAGTGCTTGAAATCCTATATTATTCTTGTCTTTAGATTTTGGCTTGTTATGAAAGAAACACTCCAAAATTTCTGCTTCATGATAAATACCTGATAGGAAAGTTGCTTGGTTTACTGCTCAAGACACAAGGAGCAGCAGGACTGATCAGAGTGATTAATGATAGGTAAATTGGAATTCTTCATCCTTTGATCATTTTATCATTCTGTGTGAAAGGATCCTATGTTTATGCCATGAGATAGCAGATTAATGATTGGTGACAACAAATAAATGTCCTGAAACATATCAGGATTAATCCGGGATAGTTTTCTTTTTTTGTCATAGTTCAAAAATTTACCAGTATTCTTGTAATCTATCTTCGAAAAGCAAAGTTCATACTCTAAAGCTTCCAAGACGCATACACTGTTCCAAAGCTCTGTTTGTACCCTGTGACTGTTTCCTATTTTCCACTGGATTAATTTTTAATGTGGCATAAAGGGAAAATGATTAAACACGTGTGGAGTAATTATAGCATTATCCATAATTAATTTAATTTAATAACTTATTTTAATTGTTGTCCTCAGTCTACCCATCTTTTGGAGAGTGGCTCTTCCATGCCATGCAAAAACTTTTTATTTCTTCTTTTCACTACTTGCCTCAAAATGTCAACATCTAATATTTACAAACTCTCCAAAATCAAGCATAATGGAATGTGGGAGTGACTCTGGGGAAAGGGGAAAGAGATGCTGCCTAGGAAACAATCAGAGAAGAGAAGCAGAAGCCATTAGTGACTTCACAGTCAGGACAAAAAATAAAAAGAACCTAGCAGCAGGAAGTTTGGTATTTTCAAGCTTTCAAGATTCCATTGATGTACTGTATTTTCCGGCGTATAAGACGACTTGGCGTATAAGACAACCCCTGACTTCGGAGAAGATTTGCATGGTTAGAAAGTCATCTTATATGCTGGAGAATATGGTATTTTCCGGCGTATAAGATGACTCGGCGTATAAGACGACCCCCGACTTTGGAGAAGATTTGCATGGTTTAGAAAGTCGTCTTATATACAGGAAAATACGGTACTTTTATAATAATGCAGATTTACCTCATCTAATCTTGTTTCCCATCTGGCTTATCTGCAAGTGCTGACCTCAGTCTTGCAAGTCTCCTACTCTCTTCTGAAAAGAGGAATTTCAAGATCAGCCTTCCCAAGGAACCCCACTAACCATTAAGCATCTGGCAGCTGCACTGTCACAGCACCAAGACTGCGTACCGTAGATGTACAGATGACCAATTTACAGAATGCCATGCTACAACTAACATCACAATTGGGGACAAATTTGTCTTAACCCATGGCAGCACAACAGATAGCAGCTCAGCCAATGCACTTCTCTTCCCAGAGAAACTTTCTAGAGAAGTTTGGAGGGAACCAGGATCAATTCCACAATTCCATTTGTCACTTGGTATTAAATGTTTATGGATGGAATTTGCCACTGATTGTACCCAAATGACTTTTGTATTCAGGCTCTGGGAGGAAACAACTCTAAGTGGGCAATACTATTCACTGAGGGGAATGATTCAGTGCTAGACAACTATCATGAGCTAGACAACTTCAGGAGTAAACTTAAAGGACACTTGGGGGATCCTATACAGAGTTCACAGATTTGGAAGCTCAACCAGAGACAAGGAAGAGTAACGGCATTGTTTGTTGGAGATGTAGAGTGAAATGATTTTAGCCCTAATTAACCAGTTCAGAGAAAGACTGGCCAATGGCCTTAGAGATAAGCTGAGACAAGGCACCTCAAATAGCCTGGAAGAGCTCTATCAATGTTGTGTAATCATACATGCCTGGCTGGAAAGGTTGAAACAAGGAAGAATTGGGACGGAGAAAAGAAACTTATAGCTGTCATGCCTCTCAATGACCTCTTTGAAATACAACATTGGAGAACCCATGCAAAACAAGATAGCCAGGAGATCACTGGCACCCAGAGAGAAGCAAAAGAAGAGATCAAGGACTATGCTTTTATTGTAACTCCCCACAGGTCATGATCTGGCAATGTAGCCAGATCATGCCCAGTAAAAGCGCCAGTGATGGTCATAACAATAAGATATAAAAGTTGCAAATCAGCGAAGCATGGGACCAACAAATGTCCACTTCAGTCTCAGACAACACCTCAGGGAAACTTTACTAGCCTCCCTTCTCAGAGCTCTGAGGAGGGGAGGATCCAACATTTGAGGCAACTGAGAACAGCCAAGCATATTTCATTACTCCTGTTATTGTTACTTCAGATTCCAGGCAGAAGGTGGAGATTTCAGCTCTTCCCATAGACTCTGAACTCTAATTTCATAGATTCAGAAACAGCACAGAAACTAAAGTTGCCTACTAAAGCCATAGAAAGCAACTGACTGTTGGAAGTATTGATAGGCAGCTGCAAAAGGCAGGATGATTCCTACACGTAGTTCCTCAAAGATCACACAGAGTACTTACCACTTTATGTAACTGTCTTCTTACAAGTACCCATAATCCTGGGAATACAGCAGATTCAGTTTACTCAGTTATATGATGGAAGCAAGAAACACTTTCATTTCCCTCACCTACATTCCAACAATATCACTTACTAACAGTGAAAGCTGATTCTCCCCCATCCCAACTCCACTGCAGAACAAGGGAAGATCAGCACTGCCAGAAAAGTATGCACACTTTGCAGATGTATTTGGGGAGAAAGAGATGGCTGTCTCACCCTCCCCCCACCCAAATTGGGTGTGTGACATCATTATCAAGTTGAATGCAGGAATCCAAACCCCAGCAAAGAAACAGTACCCCATGTCTACATGTGAGTTAGCAATCCTCAAATAATATCTAGATACCAGACTTTCAAAGAGATTCATCCTCCCTTTCAGTTCACTAGCATTGTGCAAACAAATGCATCAGGTGAGGTGAGAGAAGTAGTCCTTCTTCATGCAGAGAAAAAGGGAAAGGAGTGTTTATTTCATCCATTACATAAACACAGATCATGATCACATGACCACTGTTCCACAGAGTTGTAACTTTGAACAATTGCTGAATAAATAGTCATAACTCAAAACTATTGGTATTGAATATATTTTGGGCTTGTTTTTTTAAAGTAGTAGTATTTGTTTACTAAATAATAATATAGTTGGTCTCACAGTTACTTAGATATTCAAACTATATTATTATTATTTAGCAATCAAGGCAAAATCTCCATGAAGACATCTAAAAAGAATCTAGTTTTAAGTTGTTTTTTTTTTTACTTTCCTTAATTTCATCCAGCTACCTTTATTCTGCTTTTGCAGTTTGAGTAATCACAAGCCATCCCACCAGTTATTTTATACAAATACATAAATTACCTTAATTTTACAGGATTATCACCTTTTAGATATCCTGCCAGATCTTGTGATCCTGAAGTCTTCCAGATTTCTGAACAATTTTTGTTTGTTTTCTACGTTGAAATGATCATGCCCTTAGAATAATCTTGCAGAAAAAAATCTGCATATTTAGACTGTATTTTTTTACCTCCAGGAAGTGCTGCTGAATTAAACATTATAGTACTTGAGTACTCATATGCTTCAAGTATCCATCTGGCCTCCAGCCAAGATAGCTACAAACAAGAAGATCAGACAAATGCATAGAAGAAAAGGTTACTCATAACTATTCATTGATCATCTTTAACCCATTCTCACTTTGGAAAACAACAAGTGTAGATTTGCTGATACAGGAGAATATTTGTAACTCAGAGTTGAAACGATGAGTGCTTGATGCTGTCTAAGCTTGGTTGTTTTGTTGTAGACCAGGGGTGTCAAACTGCCAGCCCATGGGCCACGTTTGACATGGTGAAACCATGCCCACCCCATTGCCGACAATGGAAGAACAGTCAAGATACGTCGCGACACGTCACGTGACGTTGAGAGCTTGACACCCCTATTGTAGACATTTCATTACCCAAACTAGATAACATCATCAATGCTGGTAGGGGGTGGGGTTTGCTCTCATTTTAATTTGCTCTCAACTTACCTATCCTGACATTCATTTATTGAATAGATCTCTGCCTTCAAAACACTTTCTGTTAAAAAAGAGAACAACCTAAGGTAGTAAGTTTCTTACATCACAACTCCCAGAGATCCTCTGAAGCTTGGTAGAAAGGGTAATTCTTGATTTCATTGAAAATATTCAGATACATAATTGAAGAGTAGACTTATTGATTTTATTTATTCATTATATTTAAAATATCTATGCAGTTGCCCAGCTTCTATCAAACACCGGGCACCTCCCAACCAGCCCAGCACAGTTAAAGATGCACCTTTAATGAACTGAGATCTCAGTGAATTGAAACAACATTTAATGTATGAGGTCTTTGCTTCATCCACCTGGCATATCATTGAAAGATCAGAAATGGCCTTTAATGAAGAGAAGTTGCACACCTGTTTGATAGGATCATTATCACAATTACAATAAGAAGCACAAGGGATATTTCAGTTTCAGGATAAAAAGATGAACCATTAGTTCATAGTCCTGTAACTATAAAGAGTGCACTATCCATATGATAACTATAAATAAAACTTGAAAAAAGTACCTCCTTTTCTTGAGCCAACCCCCCTTTGAATAATATCAATTATCACAAGATAAAGGGAATAAATGTATTTTAGTTAATTATTTGTCCTGTTTTTGCATGTTATGTCTTTCATTTTCCTTTTTAATTCACTCCTTTTTTTCACTTTCAGTCTAGATGTGTTTCCTCGCAACAATCACACAGACATTCCCATGCAAGTCAAATAAAAAATTTAAAAAATCAGAATGAGAATGAAATTACCAGTGCATTTACGATCAGTGTCTTCCTTTTTTGACCCACTAATTGTTAACTTGCAATTGAAGTTTTCTTCCCAATATTCTGCAAACCATACATTTCTTCTATTGTTTTCCAATGTGCGGGACGTAAAATAGGTATCAAATCCTAAAAAAAGACAGAGAGAACAAAAGTTGTTTGTTTATAAAAAGAAGTAGAATATAAGATGAATATTTTAAGTCTGCAAGTAGTATAAGTATAAGACATAAATAGAAATGGAGTATTAGTAATTACAAGGAAGACAGAGAGGGCAGCATCCAGCAAATGAACTCTTAATACCTCATATTATCTATATACTAATGTTGAGATTAATAGGCTCATTCCAGATTTTACTTTGATGAGAGAGAAAGGAGAAATTTTCTGTATAATATCCATAATTCTATGTAGAGTACTTCCAACATATGCCTTTCTTTAAATCAACAAGGCTGAATGTTATAATAAAATAGTTATGTGTTCTGAGCATACTGAGCTGGCTGATTCATATAATTTGGAGATCTACATTAATTGATTCATAAATTCAGCTATATTTGGCCTCTGTGCATTGCTTCAGTTCTTCCCACTAAAACATAACACAAATGTTGTAACATTGCTCCTGTGTATAGCTCAGTTTATACACATGGGACAGCAATATATTAATGAAAAAAGTATGAATCATTCCACTGAAAGCCATTTTGTTCCCCTAATGTAAGGCATAAACAGAATAAAATAACATTTTTTTAAAAAAAAATCACAATTTTAGCAAATTACCTTCAACTGCCAACTCACACATTTTAAAAGACTAACACTATAAGCCAAATCACTGACTTTCACCAGTTGTTATTCTATAGGATCCAAATTGGGTCAGTCACTGGGACCAGAGTTTTAATCTTCCAAGCTCTTGAACTCATGCCGGAACCCATTCTCAGGGAACTTCTCTCTAGTGGATATGTCCAGTTTTTATTCTCTTGGCATTGCATTATGAGTAGATGATTTGTGTGTGAAAAATCATGTGGTCTGTATTCCTTTAGCTTCTGCTGTTTTGTTTACAGAACAGGAGTAGAAGCAGATTCAAAGCAATGCAGAGACCCATTGTAATAAATCAATAGATGCAGCAGTTAAATCCTAGCCTTACATTCTGAATGCTGACCTTTGTACCCAAGGCATATAAAGCTCTCAGGAGAAGAGGGCTTGGGGGGAGGGGGGTGGCAAAGGGATTGGAGTGTCAAATTACAACTTTCAGTTTGGGCAATGAGGTGCTGACAGCTATTAATGGGACTTCATGCAGCATGAAAGAGCAATGACTAGCTGTGATAACTAAGCTGTCAGCACAACTCATGCATTACAGGATTATAAATCTTTTGCAAAGCTTGGTATCAGGTACCTATGTGACTGAGCTCTAAATGGAATTCTGCTTTTGTTTTATCTCTCTCTGACTCTCTCTCTCTCTCTCTCTCTCTCTCTCTCTCTCTCTCTCTCTCTCCCCCCCCCCGCACATACACACACGTGTGTGTGTGTGTGTTCCTTACTCTCACATTAATGAAATAACTTATGCACCTGCTTGATTATGCCACTTTGAGAAGTTGGATCACACAGCACAGACTATATAAGTTGAACAAAGTTTTGGGAAGTCATTGATACAAAACCCAAATCATAAATAATGAATAGTTAAAATTATTGGGATTGATAAAAATGAGGACCCAGATTGTTGGGGACAATATGTTGATTCTGTAAATTGCTTAGAAAATGCTGTAAAGCACTATGAATCTGTATTTAAGTCTAAATGCTATTTGTCAAGGTTCTAACTAATGAAAGTGAATAAAGTAGAACTCTGAGGCTTGAGAATTCATCAAAGAATATATTTATTGGATACATAATATTGGCACGATCAAAAGTGAAACCAATTCTAAACTTTCCCCCAGAGATTCAAAGTAATTAAATGTAACAATTCCTTCCCTTTTATTATGCTACTGATCACATTTTCCAATAAACACATTTGGCAGTCTTCCTGACAGTTCTCTCCCCCTTCAGGGTCTGGTGAGAATGTTTCTTTCTATGTTTAGTCTAATAAAAGTAAAAAAAAAAACCTGACCCCCCCTTCTTTTTATGTGGCAACTGAGAATGAATGACAAAGATGTCATTGCAGAAGTTGACAGTTGGACCCCCCTAAAGAAAAAGAAGTTCCTGCAAAACAAGTATAGATACATTAGGGATCTTTCCATCAGTTATGTACTGGAGGCTCTTTGAGCTTCTGGGGGTGCTTATCATGAAACTTTCCTTTACTTCACTACTTTTAACCCAGGTAGCCTCTGACAAGGGATACCCCTTCCACTGCATTAGATACCGTAACTTCCATTTATGCAGTCTAAAATCAAGGATACATTTTATTTGATAGTGGATCTCCCCTTCTACTGGAATGGGAGCTGGTGCTTTACAAGGGATTGGTCTCAAGGTTGAATCTGTCACTGGTTTTAGTAAACTACAGTGGAATACTGGATGAACCTTTTCCAAAAGCCGAGGAAGCCTAAGCTCAACTGTGACAGGATTTTTGATTCTTACTATGGGGAAAGGGCCAATAAATTTTGGTCCCAACTTTTTACAGGGTAGCTTTAATCTTAGATATTTAGTCAAGAGATAGACTTTCTCTCCGACATGAAATGTTTTTTGAGGAGATTACCACTTGTCGGCTTGCTCCTTGTGGATTTTAGCCGCTTGGTTTAAACCCTGCCTGACATTTGCCTAAGCACTCTGTAATGATATCATCCATTCAGTCAAGGTCTGTGAGGAGGGGGGCTCTTGAGGATATTCAGGCATGGGAACAAATTCCCTGTCCGTAGGTACTTTAAAAGGAATAAGTCCAATACTGTTATGCACGGTATTGTTGTAGTCCACTTCAGCAAATGGGAGGAGCTCTGCCCAGTTAGTCTGCTGATAGTTGGCATAGCATCTTAGGTACTGCTTCACCATTGTGTTTGCTCATTCAGCAGCTCCATTCATACTCAGAAGAAATGCCAAGGAAAGACCTTGGGTCAACCCAATCAGTTTCATGAACTTCCTCCAGAATTTTGCTGTAAATTGAATCCCCCCTGTCTGATATAATCCTTTTTGGGGCTCCATGGAGCTGGTAGATGTGCTTCAGGAACAGCTTGGCTAATTTCTGGGCAGAAGGAAGTCCAGGACAGGCTACAAAATGAGCTTGCTTTGAAAAATAATAACAGTCCAAATCATTGTATTCCCACTTTTCTTGGGAAGTTCTACAATAAAGTCTATTGCTTTCCTTTCCCAAGGTTGGGAAAGGTCTTCTACTTATTGTAATAATCCAGGGAGGTTACTGGGACATTTTTTCATGGATGCACAGGTTGCACAGCTCTTAACAAACTTTCAATGTCCTTCTTCATCCCTGGCCACCAAAATTGCCTCTTCATCAGATGCAAGATTTTCAGGAACCCAAAATGACCAGCTTGCTTAGCATCATGGCTCCATTGTAGGGCTTGGATCCTGAGAGGGTTAGGAAGGTAGAGTTTGGATCCCTTCCATGCAAATTCATCTCTATAGTTTAATACCTGTCTGTTGGTTCTGAACCATGGGTCAGACTTTAACTTGTCTTTGAGCTGCTGGGTTAAGCACCTGTCAGGACTGGTGGGTTATTTTTTTTAATTTGGTGCCTAGTAGTCACTTGAGAAGCCCTTTGAGGTGGGAGAATGATGGCAACCTGAACCCACATTTTCTTTATGTGGCAACTGAGAACAAATGACAAAGATGGTGTCGGCTAGGTTCATTGCAGAAGTTGACACTATTGCTATGGTGTGATGACACTATTGCTATGGTTTTCTTTAGGAAATGTAGTACTGTTCAGATAGAAATAGAAAAAGGAAACTACATTTTTAATAACAAGAGGTAGTCTTGACCAAGAGTATAAGCTATTTTAGGCTTCATTCTTTATTTTCATGATTCAATCCTAAATATTTACAAAAAGGCAAATTAATCTGGTAAAGAGGAAATATGATCAGGTCAACTAAAACTGTTCACTAGGTGACAGCAATGCATATTTGATATCCAGAACTCATTATGCCAATCTTACTGGAAATCAGGCACACATAAGGAGGCAATGGATAAATCCTATTCAATTTTCTGCTTGTTCCTCTACAACTTCCCAGACAAGAGAAGTAAGCAACCATGTCAAGGAATAAAAAGAGACAAGAAGTACATAGAACTGGAGGAACAGAAGAACACAACTATACAAATGAAAATATACTCCTTTTGGGATTCAGCCAAATAGTAATATTTTCTTCTACATGACAATCCTTCCCTTCCCTTCAAATGAAAAACACATTTGCCAAATGCCTCCATGTTGTTCCAAAATATTGAAAGTAAACAAGAGGGTTTTCAGAACAATGCACGTATACTTGGATTAGAATGATTAGTAGAACCATGATAAATTTTTACTTTATTTCATAAAAAATATTGTAATCAGCCTACTAATGTTTGCTTAATTAGCCAAACCAGCAATAGTATTAATACTCAAAAGCTTCTTTTTGTTGATAATAAAATACCCTACATATTTTCATTCATGAAATATTGGTTTCTTTTTGGCATAGCACACTTAATATTTTCTTCGTTATCCACACATGAAAATCTTTTGAATTAAAGTCCTGCAAGCCATTTTATATTTGTTATCATAAAAAAAGGTGTCTTTCAGGTCATGAAAACTGAAAAATTTAATTTGCTTATTCTGTACAGGTAATCCTTGATTTAGAACAGGTAATCCTTGACTTAGAACATTTAGTGACCATTCAAAGTTACAACAGGACTGAAAAAAGGGATTTATGACCATTTTTCACAGTTACAACTTTTGAAGTATCACAATGATCGTATGATCAAAATTCAGACACTTAGCAAGTAGTTCATGTTTATGACTGTTACCGTGTCATGTGATCGGTGACCCTTTGACAAGCAAATGTCAATGGGGAAGCTAGATTCACTTAACAACCATGTTACTAACTTATCAACTGCAGTGATTCACTTAACAAATGAGGTAAACGTCGTAAAAATGGGGCAAAACTCAAAATGACTCACTTAACAACATAATTTTTGGGCTCAATTGTGGTCATAAGGTGAGGACTATCTGCATT